TGGTCCCCGAGCAGCAGCGTGGTGGGAAGCTGCAGCCGAAGGACCGGTGGGGCCTTCACCTCGGCGTGTCGGAGGAGAGCAAGGGCTGGGAGCTCCTCGACATCGTTGACAACCGGGTGGTCACCACATCGGACGTGGTATTCTAGAGAGCATGTCGCTGGAAGTGTGGAAGTCGGCGCACGGGCCGGCATCCGGGCGGATGCCGGTTCACCCGCCAACGGACACCTCGATGGCGACGCTGCCTCTGCTCGCCGAGGTCGGTGAGCTTGCAGGTGAGGACGCCGAGGACGTCCCCGCTCCCTGCCCTCCACCTGCCCCTCCCCTTGTTGCAGACTTGCATGGTCTGACCCCAACGTCTGCCTCCGGCGATGAGGGGAGAAGTGGGGCGTCACCTGTGGCGCCGGCCCCAAGCATCGCCGGTGGCCGACGTGATGTTGTGCAAGTCGGTGTGGGAGCAAAGCTGACGCCGATTGGAAGGCAGCAGGTGGTACAGCCGACTTTGGTGAAGACGGTGACGGAGACGCCTGCAGAACAGCAGCTGACAGGAGAGCAGGCAGTAGCGACGCCGACTATGGAGCAGTCAACGACCGGGCAGTCGGCAGGGGAGCCGACCCTAGGGGAGAAGTCGGCTGTGACTCCGGCTGAGGTGCGGCAGGACGCTGAGGACAGCAACGACGGCGACGATGGCGGGGACGTTGAGGAGGAGCCGGGACCACGGCGTACAGGCCGACTTCGGAGGCCGCCTGACTTCTTCATCCTTGCTGCCTTCACCATAGTGTACGACGTGGACGACTACGACCTGGCGTATGACGATGCCGAGGAGGATGAGGAGTTTCTGGAGCTCGACCCCGACATGCATGCCGACCCCGAGCACCGTTGGGACATCTCGACTATGACGGTGAAGGAGGCGTTGGCCAGCTGGAAGGGCCCGGCGGTGAAGGCCGCTATGGAGGAGGAGATCCGCACCCTCATCTATGGAGGAGCTGGTCGAACGCCCGCCGGGAGTGAACATTATGAAGAACCGGTGGGTGTTGACGACGAAGTACCACGTCGATGACACCGTCGAGCGCGAGAAGGCGAGGCTGGTCGTGAAGGGCTTCACGCAGGTGTACGGCGCCGACTACGACGAGACGTTCGCGCCGGTGGGCAGTTACGTCACGCTGAGGACCTTCCTCAGCATCATCGCCGTCCTCAACCTCAACCTGATACAGCTCGACATGAAGAACGCCTTTCTGCAGAGCAAGCTCGACCAGGTGCTGTACATGTCATAGCCGGCCGGAATACTTTAACGACGGAACCGGCCGGGTGTGCAAGCTGCTAAAGAGCCTGTACGGGCTGAATCAGTCGCCGCTGTTGTGATACTTGGCGCTCAACGATGTGCTGGTCGGCGCTGGGTGGAAGAAGTGCCAGGTCGACGAGGCTCTTTACTTCAAGATCGATGACGACGGAGTGGCCTGCTGGGTGCTGGTCTACGTCGATGACCTGCTTGCCGCCAGCAGCAGCCTCGCGATGCTGAAGGAACTGAAGGTGCTGCTGGAGTCCGCCTTCGAGCTGCGCGAGATCTCGCCGGTGCAGAAGTACCTCGGGCTGGAGATCGTGCACAATAGGTCGGGGTGGGAGTTGTGGCTGCACCAGCAGGGTTACGCCGACAAGCCGCGTAAGCGCTTCATCGACGAGGAGCAGGCCGGACGCACCCCGAAGACGCTGGTCTCGGTCGACGCTTACGCCGAGCTCACCTTCGACGACAAGGAGGCACAGGAGCGACAGTAGGAGGAGTACCGGCAGAAGATCGGCTCGCTGCAGTTCGCGGCGACGACGACGAGGCCGGACATCGCCTTCGCCTGCAGCAAACTGTGAGCGGCCTCACAGTGAGGAGCGACCAGCACTGGCGCGAGGTCGACCACTGCCTCGCCTACCTTGCCAACATACGTGACACCGCCCTGGAGTTCGGCGGTGGACCTGAGACGCTGGAGTTGGTCGGCTACGTGGACGCCGACGACTCCGGCGACAAGCAGAACCGGACGAGCACGGGAGGCTATGTGTTTGTCTACGGAGGGGCCGCAGTCTCCTGATCGAGCCTGCGCATCAAGTGCGCGACGCTGTCGTCGACCGAATCGGAGTATGTGGCGGCCACCGAAGCTGGCAAGGAGGGACGCCGACTTCGTTTCCTCCTTGCATAATTCCGGCAGCTGGACGCCGGGAAGCCGACTGTCCTGAGGGTGGACAACAAGTCGGCCATCACAGTCGACGAGGGGATGGGGTTGACGGGCAACCTCAAGCACATGGAGCGGCGACAGGCCTGACTGCAGCACATGGTAAAGCGCGGGAAGTTCTCGCTGAGGTACATCTCGACCACCGAGCAGCCGGCCGACTTCCTGACGAAGGCGCTGCACTATCCGGCTTTCAACCGGTGCTCCGTCGCCATCAGCCAGGTGCGCTTGGCCGACGTGGGCGACGAAGATGACGACGTGCAGCAGTAGGTGCCATGCTCTCTTGCATGGCTGGTGCGGTGGATGACGTGCTGTGTGTTGGGTGCACGTCGACGAGCTTTTCTCCGAGCTGTACTACCGTGTGGGCTGGGGGCCCAAGCGAAAACGCGGAAGGGGGGTGTCGACCAGAGTGTTGTTTGGCCCCGTCCTCGCTTGGGCGGAGCCGACCTCGTGATCGGATGTGCAGGGGTTGCAGCCGACCTCCAGCAGTGGGCACGGGGGCCACTGCAAGGGCGCCGAGCTGGAGGGCGCCTGGCTAGAGGGCGCCGACCAGGAGGACGCCGTCCTGGACGCCTGGTTGGCGTCCTGGACGCCTGGACGGCGTCCTGGGATGCTGGACGCCGACCTGGGCGTCGGTACGACTACCCGGGCGCCTGGTCGACGTCGTGGGCGCCTGCACGGCGTCCTGGGAGGCCAAACACCGACCTGGGCATCTGGTCGGCGTCCTGGGAGGCTGGACGCCACTCTGGAGGTCTGCACGGCATCCTAGGCGCCTGGTCGCCGACCTGGGTGTCCGGACGGCGTCCTGGTCGCCTGGATGCTGAACGGGGGACGCTGGCCATGTGTTGCTGGGCTACGGACTGCGCTGGTCGACCAGGCGTGGTTGCCCGGTTGACCGGGATACCCGGGCGACGTGCGCGAGTATCGCTGGGGTTTGAGTCTGCGAGGTCGACCTCGGGGGTGGTATCCGAGGTCAACGTGGCTGGTGGGCGCAGTCGCTGGCGTGGAGTCTGCCAGGCGTCTGCGCTGTGCTCGTGACAAGATGTGGAGCGCCAACCAGCTGCACGCACCTGCAAAGCAGGTGCACCCTTGTCCTGCGGGTGCAACGCTTTGCAGCCGACTTGCTGCAGCGTTGGCACACCATGGACTTGCAACGTTGGCGAACCGCTACTCTGCAACGCTGGAGCGGTGCGAGCGCTGCTGTGCTGGAGGTCGACCAGCAGCCTAGCTAGCTCTGATGTAGTCTGTGTTGCCAATGTTGTTGCTATCATTGTTGTCAACTTTCTCTAGTGAAACTGTTGCCAACTTGCCCCGTGAAGTAGCAAGCAGTGTGTGAACTAGGAAAACGACTAAGGACCAACGAACGCAGAGATCACACGAGCACCTGTGCCTAGCCCGTAGTCTAGCTCCCGTTGCAGTAGTGCATTTGTTGAAAATAATTAGGACGACGTTTTATCATAGGTGCGAATTTTATGGTGCAAACCATTGTTACATAACGGGAAACCTGCAGAATCGAAGTTAGCGCCTTGGTAAATACAGTAGCACTGTGTGCGTATGGTATAAAATCATGAACCATGAAGAGTGCATCGTGCCATCTTCGAAACCAGCTCGCAACATAAAATGAAGAGAAAAATATGCTACGAATCTAGATTTGCGAGAGCGAGAAAACATTCCGCCACTCAACAGGATCAACAAATTATGTAGACCGGAAGCTCAGTGGTACATATATGATATGGTTGATGGTAGCATGGAAGCGAATGTATGGGCGTAATAGAACAGCAGTTAACCATTTATTACCAATCCGTTCTCCCATAATATGCTGGTAACATGTGTGTCACATGTTTGTGTGTACGATTCAGATTGGGTAACAGACTTCAGTCATTCTCAGGCTCCAATTGTACCAAGATATACGTGGATGTAATGGTTCTGGTACAGTGAACGTAATGCAAACGTTTGGCTCGCAAGCCTTGTGCAAGATAAACTTGAAAATTCATGAACACATGTGCCATATCTCCGAGATATCGCACCCCAGCTTGATAACCTTCCCCATTTGGCGGTGTGACTTCCTAAGATGAGAGATGGGTTTGTGAACTTCTTAATCCAAGCGATGCATACGTGACAACGTCATTGAGTAAACCGCGTCCGCGCTATCCATGAGCTCTTCCATGTGGTGGCAGGTAGTTTGATCTACGAATGCGCAATATTCTGGTCGTCTTGATGAAATGTGACGGCGTATCAACCGATGTGCAATCAGATCGTTTAACATATCCATGGATGTTATGGAAATGGACTCGTGGCTACCGACAAGAGAATTTGACGAGTTAACGATCCGGAATGGCTACGCCAAGACGAGTGTGTTGTCTAACATACCCTATATTATGAACTGGAAATTAAGCAGTCCTTGCAAAAATCAAATGCTGGATATCAGGAATTTCGACATGGAAACGTTGAAAGATTTTCAGTGATGTAAGTAACGAATTTTACTTGCAACTCCTGCATAGGAACGTCGAGTGAATCACAGCGATGGCACAACCATCGCATATAAAAAGTGTACATTTGCAACACTGTCGGCGGAATAATTTGAACGCCATATTTTCGAAATGCGGTACATCTCAACGAAAGATTGGGACGTGCTATACACGTGCGCACTGCCGGCCGTGGCAGGTAGCCCCCGTCCGACCCGATCTGACGGAGGGGAGGTGCACCAAGGGAAGGAGTCGGTGAGGTGCAGGGGTTGGTGGAGGGGTGCGGAGTGGTGCAGTTGAATGAGAACGAGTTGTGCAGACGCACCACGGTGATGGGCAACTGGTCCCCGGTGAAAGGCGGAGTGAAGTTGGTGTAGTTGCGCGAGGTGGCACAGACAAAGCGCAGATTGAAGAAGCGTGCGTTGGCCACCCCCAGCACCCGGAAGCGGTACAGCGCCCTCTTCACGCTCAGATACGGCCACACCTGCCACGCATGCCCCAGGGGGGGGGAGAGCGCAGGGAAAAGGAAGAGTGGGAAGATGAGGCGGGAGGAAGACAGGGGCAGGCAGCACCTTCAGTGCGACGAAAGGAACAGAAGGCGGGAGAAAAGAGAATTGAGCGAGGGAGGCGTGGGAGGAGTATTGGGGGCAGCAGCACCTTGCCGGTGACGAGGATGGTGTCACCGATGTACTCCGGCACCCAGTGCGCGTGCACTCGCGGCACCACGCCCTGCCGCGGGCAGTCAATGGACCCGTTGGGGAAGAAGCGCCGGTCCGCCAGGGCCAGCGGCACTTCAAACTCCCCCCGGGGCAGCCAGGCGAGGGCCCTCTCGACGCTGAGCAGGTCGGTGAGGAGGAAGAAGTCGGCGAGGCCGGCAGCGACGTTGAGGTGTGTGAGGCCGACGGCGTGGTCGTGGTACCACAGCGTGGTGGGCAGCTGGTGGTTCGGGTAGCGGTACAGCCGCGTGCGGAAGGCGCGCCCCACCTCGCTGTACTGCATGAACCACGCCTCGGGGTGCCGTCCGCGAATGATGGATTCTCCCCTCCGTGCCTGTGCGTCACTGCGGAGAAGGAGCGCGAGAGGAAGAAGGGCGTGATGAGAGCATGGGCATGTGAACAGATTAGGGAGCATGATGGGGAGAGGAATAGAGAGCGTTAGGGAAGTGTGAGCATGTGAATGAATTAACCTATTGGGGAAGCAGCGCGGCTCACCGATGGGGATGCCGCCCAGCAGCGGGCGGGCGACGTCGTCAATGGAGTAGTCGACGGGGAACATGTGGTGGCGGTCCGTCAGGTGGTTCTCCCAGTACACCTGCTCGCCCACCCCACCCGGTACCAGAGTCAGCATGGTCCCACAGGTATGCATGCATATGAGATGAGCGCGCAGGACAGGAGAAACGCGAGCCTTTGCTGTCAGTGCACAACCAGGAGAGCAGCGGCGGCCGAGCAGGAAATCAGAGGGAAAAACGGGGGAGCGCTTCCCCGCACCGTTGCTGTACCTGGGAGGGCACGCCGCGCTTGGCGACGAGCGTGGGGCCGGGGTAGTGCGCCGTGGCAGCGCTGCGGCCGTACGCGTACAGCTTCGTGGGCGGCAGGTCGCGGTGCAGCTTCTGCAGCCCGTGCGGTTGGGGAGGGGGTAGGGGATCGAATGGAAGATGCGTCAGCAAGGGCGAGACCGGCAAGAGTGGAAAAGCGAGGAGAATGGAGAAGGGAGAAGCGAGCGAGGGAACGGGACGGGGGGGTTGGCTGAACGGATGCAAGTGAGGGGACGTGAGTAAATGAAAGCGGGAGCGGGGATCGGAAGCAGAGGGCGGAGGGGGGGGCTGGCCTGGCGGATCTGGTAGGCGCCGATGCGGATGGGCGCGCCCGTGGAGGCGTCGATCTGCTCGGGAATGGCGTCGCGCAGATCGTCCACGAACTTGCACAGCGCGCGCCGGGGGAAGTCGTTCACGCACTCCCGCCCCGCCAGAGGCGCCCCCACTGCTACACTCACCAACGCGCCGAAGCACGCGGCGACTGCTGCGAGGAGCGGCGCGAGGCGGAGAGTTGGCGGGAGAAGGCGAGGCATGGCGCGCGATGAGACGGAAGGCACTCTGCGAATGGAACAGACTGAGACGATAAGTGCCGCGGGCTGTACTCGCAGCAGGCAAGGCTCTTCACGAGTGAATGCGACGCTCGTTTGTTTTGCAAGTAGAGACCACACCGAGTCGAAAATATATATTTCCAACCGCACTCGACGGCTAGGGTGCGGATTCGACTCGAGAGGGGTCCGGGAGCGTCGGGAGGATTCTCAGACAGACAGAAGGCAAACGTCAGCCTCTCGTGCGGCTTGGGATTGCAGCGGTGACAACAAGCTGCATCCGACGCGTAAAGTGCATACTCGCCGTCGATTCGGCTCCGCTAACGCTCTGATCTGCGCGACAGCCCCGCACACGGCCATATTGCCGTTGGTTAGACGAGATTGACACATTTTGATTCTGATCCTTTTGCCTGCTAACTCAGCCGCAGGCTGTGGAGCCGTGAGCCTAGAGAGCTCCGTGATGGCAGCCATTCTGCCGCCGCCGACTGTCATGACTGATCCTGATAGCTGGGAAGGTGAATGTGTGAACAAGATTGTGGAGAAAGTAAAGAACCGTTCTCAATCGTAACTCAACGTATCCAAACGCGTCAAATATATTTAGAAGCAAAAAGGACCCCAAGCAGCATAGGGGAATCTGACACCGCGTTATGAGTCAGCTCCTCTACATCCACTACGCAGAAGACAAACAAAACACAGCTTGCACAATGTATTCTTAGTAGCTACTCCAAGCACGGAAAGTTGTTTCATGCATACTACTGTGATCTCCCAGTTAGAAGACCCGAGGGTCGTAAGGTTCCGAAAAAATTACCCAACAGCATCAGTGTTACTACACCCTTCTAGTCAGGGCATCAGGGTGATTTACACTGATAACGTGGGCCCTGCACACAACCTGCACCCCATCAGATTCATTGCATCTGATGGGGTGATGGGTTCGAGAACGTTCCACCGTGCACAGCTGGAATGCATGCGACACAGGGAACGTGAACCCCCCCAACTCACGCCCTTGTCCTCCCCGGCTTCAGAAGGGGTAGTCCGGGTCGGTGAGGCTCATTCACGGTTTTTTTTTTTTTAGATGAAAGCCTCCCCTCGACTCTCCTAGCCACCATGTTCTCTCCCGCTAGTTTAGCCCGCACTCCCCTACAGACGCGGTCATGTCGGCGCTGGACATGCTGATAAAGATGCGGGCTGCAGGGCTTTTTTTTGGATTTTCACTACTCGGATTTCCAGAGCTGTTTTCTAGAGAACTCTGAAATTCAGGGTTCATTATGAGCGTTACTCTGATTTGTCAGAGAAAACTTAACTTCTGAAAAATATACTCTGGGCACCCAGTGTACCTATTTTTCCAACTCTGAGTGTCCTCTCAAGTATTGAACCCAGGCCTTCTGCACTCCTACCAAAAAGATTAAGCGTTGTGCTACGCGCTCACAATTCTATTCGATTACGGATTAATATAACTCTACTTAATCTGCCCCATCTTCCAACAATCGGGGAGGAGAGGGGGGGGTCAGTCGAAATGCCTATACCCTGTACAGAGAAAAGTACATCCGCCACAAATATACACTGGTCTCTCAGAGAAGCTAAAATCAGAACCCTGACAAATCAGAGAAAACTTATCCTCCAAAAAAATTACCCAGACACGTCAGAGTGACCCCCTCAAAACCACTCTGATTTTCAGAGAAACAGAGTAATTTACTCTGATAAAAAAACCCCTGGCGGGCTGTTAGTGCAGCCCGCGGCCTTGCAGCCATGGCGAACTCACCCCCGCCTCCATCAGCCCCGGCGGCCCCTCCGACGGCTACACCCTCTCCTCCCGCAACTCTCGCTCATCCGGCGCCACCCGTGCCCCCTTTCCCTTACCACTTCGAACCTGTGAATGACGACGAAGAGTTTCTTCGTCCGCCGGAGCCTCACGCGTCTTCTACCGATGACGAGGGGAGCGGCGATGCGGCAGCGACCGATGAAAACCTACCTTTTCCTCTCCCCCAGTTCCCCACTGATGTGATGTGCGATGTCAACCCTGCCGCGGTCGCACGTGATGCTGTAACCGAGGTCGACTTCCCAGGTCGACCTCCGGCAAGCTCGCACCATGGCTGAGAAGACGGGTTGGCTTTTGCGGATGAAGGATGAGATTGTCAACGGGAGTTGTGTGTTGGCCCCGTCCTCGCTTGGGCGGAGCCGACTTCGTGGTCGGGTGTGAGGGGAGCAGCCGACCTGCAGCAGTGGGCGAGCTGGTTGACAAGGAGGTCGACCTGCACGGGGGCTACTGCACGGGCGCCGACTTCAGGGTGGCGCCGACTTCAGGGAGGTCGACCTGGGAAGTCGACCTGCGGAGGGCGTCAACTTGGTGACGCCAACTTGGGGCAGCTGACTTGGGTGGTCGGCTGACAGTCCTGCTGGTCGACCTGGTGGTTGGTCGACTAGGTATGATGTCGACCTGGTGGTCGACCTGTCCTGGTGTCGACAAAGGAGGGGCCGACGTTGACCACGACTCAGGACGCCGAGCAGTTGGGCGTCGCGTAGCAGGGCGTCAACTTGGTGACGCCGACTTCGGGTAGCCGACTTGGGTGGTCGGCGACAACTGCGCTGGTCGACATGGAGCTGGTCGACTAGGAGTGCTGGTCGACGTGGAGCTAGTCGACCAGGAGTGATGTCGACCTGGATCTGGTCGACCAGAGGTGTGGTTGACCTCGTGAGGTCGACTTGGGGTGGTCGTCGACTTGGGAGGTCGAAGGGCACATACAGGAGCAGCTGGTCGATGTGGTTGCCCGGTCGACCCGGTTATCTGGGTGACGAGGATCTGCGGAGGAGTACGACGGTCGCCCAGGCGAAGTTGGCGAGTCTGACCTCGGTGGTGGTATCCCGAGGTCGACATGGCTGATTAGATGCAGTCGTCAGCGCCAGGTTGACTTGGTGTGTGCGCTGTGCAGGTGACAAGGCTCAGCACGCCAATCATCTGCAAGCACCTGCGACGCTGGTGCGCTGCTGTTCTGCGGGAGCAACGCTGGCACGCTATCCACCTACAGCGTTGGCACGCCGTAGGCTTTGCACTGCTGGAGCACGGTCGACCAAGTCGTGCTGGAACGCGGTCGACCATGCTGTGCTGGTAGTCGACCGACCTGAATGCTAGCTCTGATGTAGTCTTGTCTTGCCAACCTGATTGCACCATTGTTGTCTACTTTCTCTAGTGAAACTCTTACGAAATTGCCCCGTGAACTAGCAAACAATGTGTGCACTAGGAAAACGACTAAGGACCAACGAACGCAGAAGTCACACGAGCACCCGTGCCTAGCCCGTAGTCTATCTCCCGTTGTAGTAGTTATCTCCGCAGAGATCCTGACGGTGCGCGAAACTGCACGGCTGGCCAGCGTTCAACCAGCTAGCATCCATCGCTGGATGAAGGCGTCTGAAGAGATGGCACCGGCGGCTGGCAGTCGCCTGCGGCTTGCAGGTGGCGGACGGCATGCCCAATACCCTGACATGGAAATTTCCGTTTACAAGTAGTTCCTGAGCCACAGGTCATGGGGACTGGCGGTCCCGATTAAGCTGCTGCAGACGTGGAGCCGGATTTTGATGAAGAACCGGCACCCTGAGGTCGACGGGCGTGCCTCTCCTCGATGGACGGTCAGGTTTCGCCTGCGCTGTGTCAGAACATATATATAGCTTATGCTGTTGTGTAGGCTATAGTGGGGTATCCCATAGGGGGTACAACCCAATTAGGGTTTCCCATATGTACTCACTTCATTCATAGTTCATTCATTCTCGTTCTACTATTCTCATGGTATCGAGCAGGTTCCCTCGTGGGAACTGTTCCTAGGGCCCACCGTTTTTTTTTTCCTGCCCGGAGCGCACTCTGCCCCTACCCGGGTCGCGCTCCCCTCTCTCTTGGCCCCTAGTGGCCCCTTTAGCCGCCCGTCACGGCCCTTAGCCGCCCGCGCGCCGCCCGTCCCGGCCCCTTAGACGCCCGCGCGCCGCCCGTCCCGGCCCCTAGACGCCAGTGCGCCGCCCGGCCCGGCCCCTAGACGCCCGCGCGCCGCCCGTCCCGGCCCCTAGACGCCCGCGCGCCGCCCGTCCCGGCCCCTAGACGCCCGCGCGCCGCCAGTCCCGGCCCCTCGACGCCCGCGCGCCGCCCGTCCCGGCCCCTCGACGCCCGTGAGCCGCCCGTCCCGGCCCCTAGACGCCCGCGCGCCGCCCGTCCCGGCCCCTAGACGCCCGCGCGCCGCCCGTCCCGGCCCCTCGACGCCCACGCGCCGCCCGTCCCGGCCCCTAGACGCCCGCGCGCCACCCGGACCGACCCCTAGACGCCCGCGCGCCGCCCGTCCCGGCCCCTCGACGCCCGCGCGCCGCCCGTCCCGTCCCCTCGACGCCCGCGCGCCGCCCGTCCCGGCCCCACGCCGCCCTACCTGCGGCCCACTCACCGCCCTACCTGCGGCTCGCCCGCCGCCCTAACTGCGGCCTGCCCGCCGCCCCACTTGCGGCCCTACCGCCCCCCTACCTACGGCCCGACCGCCGCCCTACCTGCGGCCCAACCGCCGCCCTACCTGCGGGAGCCGCCTAGCAGCAGAACCGCCGGGAGCCGAGCCGCCCTGCCGCCGAGCCGCCCGGGAGCCGAGCCGCCCTGCCGCCGATTCGCCCGGGAGCCGAGCCGCCCTGCCGCCGAACCGCCCGGGAGCCGAGCCGCCCTGCCGCCGAGCCGCCCGGGCGCCGAGCTGCACTGCCGCCGAGCCGCTGAGCAGCCGAGCCGCCCTACTGCCGGGCCGCCCGACCTGCCCTGTCCGGTGAGCACAGCCCCACTGTCACTGCGTGCCCTTCCCCTACTGCTTGCACTGCTCGTCTGTCGTCGTCATGGCTACCCCTAGCGTCCTCGCTTTTGACGCTGAGGGTCGAGCCATTGACTTTGAGGTCTGGGTCGACGACCTGCAGCTGTTCTTACAGTGCGATAGGGCGGACGGTCTTTCCCTCTTTGACCTCACCTCTGGCGCCTCTCCTGC